CCAAATTCCAAATTAAAAAATCGCAAAAAAATAGCTGCTAAACGATGAAAAAATGTCACCAGAGAGCTCAGAAAAATCACCAGATTTGTGACAAAATCACCAAAGTGGCAACACTGAGCAGCAATCTACCACCGGTTAAGCTCCCGCCAAAACCCCGCTGACAACAGTATTGCCGTTTCGGGAAAAAAGATCTCAATGAAAAAGTCCTTAGCTTTTTAAACAAAATTAATTAAAAATTCGCTAGATATCGCTAAATATTTCAAAACATTACATGGTAACAAATATATACGGTAAATAAAAGCAAATTTGTCTAGTCAAACATTCATTAGGTTTAAACAAGCATAAATTTCGTTTTCCGTTTTCGACATCTATTAATGGCGCTCAAGCAGCATAAGTTAATGGTGCCACAGTACTTGTACACACCTCTAGCTGCCCCAACAAAGGTTGACGGGACTAGGAACCATGAGTAATCCCATCGACGGGCAGCAGAGAGACGGGGCTAATGGCCATATGGAAGAATTTCCTATAATACTAAGCTATATGGAAAATGTTTTATCCTACTACAATTTAATGGGGAGGCTAGTCAAATAGAGATTACTTATCTGTATATGAGGCGACTGCTGTCTCAGGGCTCGGTCAGGCCGGAGGTGTGTATGGGTTGAGTATAGTGGTGTTTTTGTGGTGTTGGTTGTGATAGGCCTGACTGAACTGTTGAAGTCGGCAGCAACCCGGACTTCGGCACCGCTCCAAATTGTGGTAATCTCCAGCGGCGTCACCCACAGTCACTTTCTTTCTTCTTCACTATGTCAGTCTATTAACTATACCGTACAATTAACTAACTTCCAGACGCCACTAACACTCGTTTATTATAAAGCGTAACACACAACACGAATACCGAATGTTCGGATCAAAGGTCACTTCCGTTTCGCGTGGCAACAATTATTTTCTCAAAATGGAGGTTTCCCGAGCGACTTCAGGACGTGCTCTCGACCGCACTATATTCTAGCAACTGTTCGACTCGACCCGGCCGCCGGTAACAACCAACTGCGTGCAATCTACGGACGCGGCCAGCTGGCAACAAAACTCCCGTTAACCGCCCACACCTCTACTGGTTATGAACGCGCCGTATCGAGCCGAGCGCCCTCCGGTGTCAAATCTTGAAACCAAAGTTTGGACGTGAACAATCCCCCGTCCCGGACATAAGGATTTTGGTCCGCGAGCAAACCGACAAGCGGGACAGGGTCGTGACGACAAGTTGGAAGACCGAACCTACAACCAAACTAGGCCAACTTAGGCACCCCATCAGATCTTGCAACCTTACCGACCGCCTCAAATTACAGCCCCAGCGTGGGCAAGCCGGAGGGTTGAGCCTCAACTGGATGCCCTTCCTGGACATCGCAGCACATAAATAAGTTCTATTCCTGGACAGAAGTCCGACGACCTCCTTCAAACACCTATCTGCGCCCCTATAATTCGCTCCGCAATCCGACCGGATCAGTTCCATAAACAGCGGCGCGATACGAAGCGGCCCGGCGTGGCCTCCTAAGCTTCAGTGCAAAGAGCACCTATAAATTCCACATGAATGTCGTCTGTGGAGAGCCAAACGAAACGCACAGATAGTCCTTAGTATAGATTTTCAAAGTGTAGGCATAAATAAGCCATCTACTATATAAATATTTACTTAATTATGCAGTAGCTGATTTCAATCTGATAATCTCTCAACTAGCTAGCCTTTTAGATATGTAGTCCTATGCTTATATTTCAACCAAATTTCAAGAGCATTTATACTCAATCTACTATGTAGAACTTGAAAACAAACTGTAATAAATTTATTTCTTGACGCGCATAGATCAAAACAGACAAACTAAGCAAAACGACCAACATAAGAAATAACCAAAAAAAAAATTTTCTTTTCAAAATAAATATGTTCGACAATGCCAACAAAAGGTGAAAACAAAGAGAGGATTGATTTTTATTTCCTTCGGCACAAATAGTGTTACTCAAACATAATAATCAAATATATTTACATAAACATATGTACACGTATTCAAGGAGTATATCAAATACACCTTTTTAATCACAACCGCCACAAATATGAAACATTTCGCGGAAAACCCAAAAGCATTTTTATTTTTAATTTCAGGAATTTTTAACTAAACTAAAGTGCTCGTCCAAACCAAATCTAATACTCCTTGACAGCGTGATTCAACGCTCCAAGGGAGCCCTAATCTTCCTACCACCAAGTGGAGGCGACCCCGCTTGAACCCGAATCCCATAAAGCGCAAACCGCTAACAGTCGCCACTCGGGTTGTACGCCTTCACTGAGACCGTCGGCAATAGAACAGTTTGACAAGTAGACTGTTGACGGCTCAAAGGCTCAGTGGAGGCGGCCGTGGTGGGAGCTAAGGCGGCAGCTAGCTAGGGCTGCCTCCATCAAAGGGGGGACGGTGGTACACCAGTCGCGGCCATTCAGCTAACGGGGGTGAGAAGGGTCTAGCGGACTGCTGAGTGGCCGTGAAGTTTCTCTCCACACGCTGAGGGGGGCGATGACACCCCCGCCCCTGGGGGAATTACCTCTCGACTGGTCGGGGGAGGGATCCCTTTCAAACCAAGGGGCCCAGTGGCCGGCCGGCGAGCGCCGAGCGACGCCCGTCAGAGGGCGTGGCTGAGCGCCCCCGCCCGTGGGGGTCGAGGGTCGGGCAAAGCCCCGAGAGGAGACGCCGTTCGCTCTTAGGCACAAAACTGCATGGTGACCACCCCAGCAATGCGGACAGGGCCGCTGGTGCAGGCAGTCTCGTTGGAGGTGCCCTTCCAGACACGAGTAGCACCAGCGGCGCTCCCTGGTGATAGTCCTCGCCGGAGCCAGCTTACTTAATAATTTCGGACACGACGTTACCCGGTGATCAGATGCTCGACAATAGGAGCAGGGGAGCGCCTCCCTGGCCGCTAGGCCACTGTAAGATGGTAGGGAGCGACGCCCTCCCGCGGGAGCTCCGATAGGCCTGGGGTGGGGAGGCTTGACGACGACTTGCCCGGCGGATTCCGCCTCTCACTGGGCACGGCTCGTAAGTCGTCAACAGCGCCCGTCGCGTTCTCGATCTGCCGGCACTGCTCCTCCAAAAACCGCAGCAGGTCATAGAAGGGCGGAATATAGGAGGCCCCGTCCCCGCCGTACCTTTCCTCAAAATGTATCCGAAGGTCGAGAGGTAGACAGGACAGCACGATGTGGAGCATCAAAAAGGACCATTCGTCCACTGGTAAATCCAGCCGCCTCAACGCATTACAGGCCACCAAGACTGGATTCACCAGGTCCGGACGTAGGCTGGCCCGGTTACTAAGCAGCGGGAGGCTTAAAAGCTGCTTAACATGTTTGCCCGCAATTCGCCGAACGTTGGCGTATCTTCTGGCTAGGAGGTCCCGAGCAGTCTGGTAGGCGTCGTCCGACAATCTCAAGTGGCCGACGACGCCCAGGGCCTTCCCCTCCAGCGAGGCCAGGAGGTACGCCATCTTCTGGCTCGGGGTCAAGTACCTCCGGGCGTCCACTAGGGTGTCGAAAAGATCAAAGAAAGTCAGTCATTCGGAAAGGACCCCGGAGAACCTTGGCAGGTCCAGAGTTGGGAGTCGTCCCAACAGCTCCGGCTGAGGTTGCTTCCGAGGAGACTCGGACAGGCCCCTCAGCCGAGCTTCACGTGCTTTATTAGCATACTTGGCCCCCGCCTCGATCAAATCGTCCGTGAGCGAAAAAAAATTCTCGTAGTCCACGAGGCAGGAGTCTAGGACTTCCTGTTCCGCATCCGAGACCAAATGCTCTGTGCAAGCCTCCTCCATTGCAGCCCTTCGGGCATCGATCTGCTCGAGCCGCTTCCCTAAACTATAAATCCGATCAGGTCGCCCTATCAACATATGAGCGTACGCGGCCCAGCGCAACTCCGCTTGCAAGCGGAGCGCCGGTTGCTTGTGCGACGGCATCCCTAATAAATACTAACTAATGCCAAAAAAAACACAAATCAAATTAACAAATAACAAACACTAGTATGATCAACTCAAGTTAAATACAAATAAAGGTACACACCACCATCGATCAACAAAATTATCCGATTACATGATAACCATATCTACCTAGTCAAAGCCTTAACAAACTACGGTACGTACAAATCCAGTGTTATGTTGTCATAGTTAAAAATGTTGGCGTAATCTTGCGAACGCACGAAGGATACGTTTTAGTGACCTGTCAATCTGGCAGCCCGCACCATGCTATAATGCAAAGACTGTAGGTGTAGTCGTTAGATCGAAAAAAAGTCCCTAAACATATCTAAAATTCGCTAGATATAGCGACAAAGTCGCTAAAGCGGAAACACTGACAGATCACAACTGTAATTATTATTATTGGCCTAAAGGTCTAGATACCAGGCCATAAGCTCCAAAAAAAAACTGTAAAGCCCGCTTTTCACTATGGGATATAATATAATATATATTACATCTCGAGATATAAATTAATATCGCTCACCATACATTTCCTATGGAACCGTTTACACTGAGCTATAATATATATTACATCTCAAGCTATAAATATTTTTTCGATCGACCGAGCGATATTTTCATATTATATTTCGCCCCCTGTACCCCGCACACCGTTCCGCGCCACCGCAAACTATGTTCGGGGTAAAGGGGGGTAATCCAATGACCAATGACGAACGCACACTGGTTAAAAGATATATCTCACAACAACTTTATATTTATAATTTGTGATATCTCACACTTGCTACATAATATATATTTATCTATGATCTCAAACTGTGAAAGCCATTAAGCCATACGCGGGATATAATTTATATTTCGGGATATAATATATTTTATATCCCATAGTGAAAAGCCAGCCTAATTATTATAATAATGACAATTTGTGACGATTTGACACAGATAATAATAATCACTAATAATATAAATATACTATAAATATAAAGTGCAATTTGACAACTGAAACTGATATTGTCCTTGCCACATAATATTTATTATTCTGTATTTCTGATTTCTGTGTCCTAATGGTCCTAAATCTTTATAATTTCGCTGATAGTTTTTATTATGTTGATGTCATTAAGAAAATAATTTTTGTTGTGCATTAGGAAAGATTGGTTTGTATTTTGTTTCATTAATTTAGCCTGTATTATGCATACATTTTTGAGAAAGAAAGATTCTAGAGTTATAGAAGAGTAATAATGTTCAATGGTGGTAGCCTCGTACCGGTAAGTCCAGTGATAAGAGTGGAAGTGGTACGACGTGGTGAGACCGTGAGACATGCTGGAAGTCGATAGATGCTAGTGGCTTACGTGCATAGATGTTCTAGAAAAAGTATCTCGAATAGAAGTTTCAGGATACTTAAGTGTTCGAAATATCAGATACAAGATTCTTTTGAAAATGGTATTTGAAATACTAGAGACGAAAATCTATAATTATAAAAAAGAAATATATTTTCTAAATACATTTTTTTAAATAAAATACCTTATATATTATATTTTTTAGCTTTATAAAAACATATTTTTACTAATCTTAACTTAAGATTTATTTATCCAATTACATTATTAATGATATAATATAATGATCAATAAAAATATAATATTTATTGGTTTAAATTGAGACTTAAGTAAAACCATTTATTCTAGGGGTGTCCACTTTGAAAATACATTGATGTTTTTTTTTGATATAATACATCGAGACTGCATCGATATATTCCTATGCATTGGTTAGAAACATCAATTTTTTTTCAACATAGGGTACTTTTTCGGACTTTAACAATTTATTATATATTTCTTATATTTACGCGAACACTACACATTGAATAAAACAGTTTTTTATGGATTTTATCACATTTATTTTACTATTTTTATTCCCTTTATTCCCGACGTTTCGAGTGCTTTACAGCAATCCATGGTCATTGGACTGAGATGTTTGACGTCCCAATGTCACAGTTAGCCCGGCTACCTTTAGTTTTTTAATATTAATTTTTGGTTCGATTTACGCAGAATGAACTTACAGTATCTTGAAGTCTTGCAGTGGTATGCTTGGGTTTCGATTTAATTTTGTTGATTATAGGATCCCAAGCAGATGGCAGCACCCATCCATCTTCTCTATTGAAATTAGGATGGTTTTTAATTTCAATAGCCTTGCGTATCATCCTTGATAGGAATCGGTGTTCTTTTGTGAGGATTTGTGGTCTATCAAATGTGATGTAATGGTGGGGACGATCTTGAACATGTTCACAGACTGCAGACTTCCCAGAGCGTTGGTGCTTGATGTCAGCTATATGTTCTTTCACGCGGGTTTTAATGGATCTTTTTGTTTGTCCTATGTAAGAGAGACCACATTCGCAATCAAGCTTGTACACTCCTGCATCTTGTAGAGGGATATTACACTTGACGGATGGTAAAAATTGACTAATCTTCTTTGGTGGCTTGAAGTTTAAAAAAATATAAATGTTTTAATAGAAGCTCACTTCAAGATGTAGCCAACCTTGTCTGTGAATCCTCTAACATAGTGTAGTACAGCAGGCATACGCTCGACTGTGGTTGGCTTCACTCGGTCACTGTGACATACACGGGACCCAAAGCTTGTTGTCTTGCAATACTTGCTCGACGTGCTGAAGCTCGGCGGCCAGATGTTTTATGTCACAGACCCCTCTCTGAAACAAAGATTTTCCCACGGTGGCTAACTGTGATGGATGATGGTGCAATTCACCATTTAAATATCAGTTGGTATGGGTCTTTTTTCTATACACAGTGTGACCAATAGTGTTATCAGGATTTCGGATGACTAAAACATGTAGGAAAGCTAAAGAATTGTTTGCCTCTAACTCCATTGTGAATTGTATTTTAGAGTTTATGGAATTAAGGTGGTCTAAAAATGCAGTTACTTTCTCAGATGGTAAAATTGTAAGTGTCGTCTAGGTCCCGCTTGTAGAATCTTGGATTTACAGGAGCAGTAAGAAGGACTTTCTCCTCAAAGTCCTCCATGAATATGTCGGCGACTATGGGAGATACAGGTGAGCCCATCGCCACTCCATCTACTTGCTTGTAGAACTCCTCCACAATAGATAGCCAGATGTAAGGCAGTGTTTGAGTAATACTGCATATTCTGTAGGCATGTTGTATTCTTCTAGCTTCCTGGTTACAATTGAGATGCAGTCTTCAATAGGTAAGCATGTAAATAGTGACTGAACATCAAAACTGACCATAGTTTCATTGTCAGCAAGATATAGGTCCTTTATCTCACTAACAAAATGGTACGAATCCTTTGTGTGTGCTCTAGTTTGTCCTCTCAGTGGTGACAGAATTTTTGCCAGGTGTTGAGCCAACTTATAAGTTGGTGAATAGATTTGGCTCACTATGGGACGTAGTGGAGCATTTGGTTTGTGTATTTTCGGTAACCCATATAACCTCGGTGGTTTGGAACACTACTGACTTAAATAAAGGGAATAAAAATAGTAAAATAAACGCGATAAATTCCGTAAAAACAGTTTTATTCAATTATTATATATTTGTTTAAGCATTATCAAATTGTTTGTTGGCTTATAAATGAATATGTATGATTAGCTTTGTGATTTGATTCACAAATGATTCACTGAAATCAATACAATAAAATATAGGTAATTTGTTTAGTAAAGTGTCTTACAAATAACAAAGTCATCCATTGTTCATCATTACAGCCTATAAAAGTCCACTGCTGAACATAGGCCTACCCCACAGATTTCTCTTAGGGGATTTTGCCATAGTTGCAATGCTTGGCGAGCAGGTTGGGAATTGCAGACTTTTATCATTTTGAGTTGTAATAACAAAATATCTTTTCTGGCATTCAGTAAGTTATAAAAGTCCTCAAGGCTGACAATGTCTGCATTTTGGTTCGCAAATGAGGATAGATGTAGATGTCTATGGGCCACAGCAGCCACTAACCATCAGGCGGACTGTGCTCGTTTGTCATCCTATTTCTCTAAAAAAAAAAGCTCCACAGAGATGATACTCAAACAGGCATTATTCATATTTTTTAATTAATTAGTCTTTATTATTTAGTGAAGTTAGTTATTATTGAAGTGTTACTAAGACAGTGTTGCCACTAATACTGATTGGGTTGTCACTATGTGCAATAAAGGAATCTAGAGTCTTCTAAAAACATGTAATAAAATTTATCTATTGTTTATGTTTTATGTCTTCTATTGCTGTTTAATGCCTGTGATTTTTGTTTTTCATTTTGATCAATTTTACATGTTTCAGTTAGGATAAATTCTTTTACATGTTGTATCCATTTCATTTTAAAGCTGTAAAAATATATATAGGTAATTAGTAAAAGTATTTCAGATACGAGATGAAAATATCTATGTAGTATCTTGTATCTATTTCAAATATACATTAATCCACCGACTTAAAAAAAGGAGGAAGTTCTCAATTTGACTGTATTTTTATTTATGTGTGTTAACTCTGAACTTTTTTGTAGAAGAAGCTATTTCGATGATCCTTTTTTATTTGAAAGCTGGTGATTCTCATGTGGCCTCATATAAATTTGATCAAGGTCTGACCAGTAGTTTTTGAGTTATCCTTAATAATGCATATTTAATTGACTTCCTACATTGACAATATTCTCATTTTATTTATATTGAAGTAGTCTATACAAATTTTATAATTTTACCACTTGTACTATGACAGAGTTGTCCTTTGCGACATTCCTTTGGGTAGGTAGCTGTGGACTTGTGAAGGTTAATGATTATTATGACGTTACTTACATTTTTATATTTCATTCTTGCATAGAGCGTTATATCTTTAGAAGCTAAATAGGTATATAAAAATTAATCCTATTCTTAGTGTGTGACTTTTAATAACATAGTGTGGATGTTTTAGGGGGTGGCATTTTGTAAACGAAAATGTAAAAATGGTAAAAATCGGAAGTATGCTGTTACTGAATAAAATGAAGTTTTATTTTTTGTTTATTTATTATAGTTTATATATTTCAATGTAATTAGAATCTTAAATAAATATATAGGTACATACTTTACAATATCACAAACACCTAGCATAGAAAGTTCTGAAAATTGAGATGATCTTCACAAAGACACTTGCCAAAGGCAGAGTGAGTAAAGTATAAAAATACATTAAAAAATACTAACAACTCTGTTAATATTACTTACATTCCTTTTAACCACTTCAGGTAAGCTTAAAATGCTTGTGTTAGGAGTAGTTCACAACAGTTGTAAAGTAGAATAGAGCCCACATTATGTTGTTTATTCCTTTTTAAATAATTAACAAAGACTGCAGAAGACTTACTGATTTTACATTTTTTTAAATATTTCTTAAAGGGGAATAGTAATATCTAGATGTGACAAAGAAGGCCTTTTCATCAAGTAATACTGTTTTTTTTTTTTTAATGTTACCCGACACTAGGATTTTCTCCTATATTGTGGAGGCAGTTTATAAACATAAATTACACAGGACAAACAATCAGATCCAGAAAAATTATTTGTAGGCCATACAAATACTTATTCCATGCGGGAATCAAACCCGCGGCCCCCAGCATCGCCAACGAATGCCAATTCACTGTGCTATGAAGCAGTCTTTTACATGAAACAATTTAGTTCAGTCATTGTGGGAAAACATTGTGGAAACGGAATTCAAATATCTTGAGAATAAGTCTACCAACATTGGGCAGCAATACTCTAGCCAACCCTAAAGCCCTTTAGAAAGGAAAGAAGGAGTAGGATGTAATACTTTACTTTTAATCTTTTAAACGGTTCTAAGTTTTCCATTTCAGGATTGAAGACACATTTCATTTGCTAATAAGATATTAAGAATTTATTGATCTTTTTAAAATGAGCACACAGTCCACCTGATGTTAAGTGGTGGCCCATAGACATCTATATTTATCACCCATGAGGACTAAAATGGAATGCCTCGTTTCCAGTAAAAAGGGTTTCCAGTTCTCTACACTCACCATACGAAACACAGCAGTGTCAAGCTGCTATTTTAGGCTAGTATTCTGTGAGTGTGGCACTTCTCCGGTCGAGCCGACTCATTCATGCTACAACTATACTACTGATATAGCTGCAGCATTGCTCTACCACGTAAAAAACCTTTCTACCTCTAGACTAGTTTGATGTTCCCCTTGTAAATCGTTCATATACATAAGATTATAAGAATATATTGTATATTTCAGAGTTATTCGAGACTGTTATGATGTTTCTGTAAATAAAAAGCATGCACAATGGCAAACAAAGGTAATTATTGAAGCATTAGTTACATTCTATTCTTTTTCTTACTTTAGGGAAGATTTATCTTGATTGTCACATTTGGCGAACAGGTTGACTATGATCACAGTCTGGGTATTCTATATCTAGTTTAACGAAATAGTTATACTTATCGTTAGCAGAGTTTCTTATTCACTCCATTTTATCCCATGGGAGTCTTTAAGGTTGACTAAAGGAGTTTTTAAAGCCAGGAAAAGCGTGTTTCTTATACAGAGCATATTTTACTAAATTTGCCAATCTGCATGCTGAATTTCTATGCTTGGTTTGATGTTTGCTATTTATATATTGTTTACTTATATATAATTTTTGTTTTTATGATTTTTTTACATTACTACACTAGGATTTTCTCTTGTATTGTGGAGGTAGTTTACATACATAAATTTCACAAGGACGAACATCCAAACCCAGAACAATTATTTGGAGACCATACAAATACTTGTTCCACAACCCTCAGCGCTACAATTCTAAGGCACTGCACCACATATGTCTGTCAATGTCTTATGATTTGTTGCTATGATTGGTGATTATGGTAAAATTTCCCAAAATGGGTCATATTGTTTTTTGGTGTTATGTATAAATTATTTTTAAGATATAATTTAGAAAACCTTTTGTGGCATTCCTTGGGGGAGGCCTATGTTCAGCAGTGGACTTGTGAAGGGCTGTAATGATGATGATGATGATGATGATTAGAAAACCTGAGATGTGGTGATGGATTCTTTTATGCCGCCACCACAAACTTTGGTTAAAAATAATAGACTATGTAATCTCTCTTCACCTCATCTACATATCTCTTCGCTAGACTTCTATTTGTTTTACAGAAGAGGGCCATAAGAGCAATTTATGATTTAAAGCCTAAAGAGTCACTGCGACAAAAATTTAAGGAAATTAATATATTAACTTTGGCCTCTCAATACATTTATGAAAATGTAATGTACGTACACAAAAATAAAAGTAGTTTTACAAAAATAAGTGATATTTGTTCTGTTAATACTAGGAACAGACACAAGCTAGTAGCACCAGTTACTCGACTCCATCGAGTCAGTAATTCATTCTTGGGGCGATGTATACGCTTTTACAACAAAATTCCAGAAAGTATACAAAATTTGACCTGCCCAAAGTTTATTAAACTAAGTTTGTATAAAAAGGGTTATTATAATATTAAGGAATTTATGGATGATAATAACCCCTGGAAATGAGGTGATCGCTACCAAGCTATTTCTAATTAAAAAAAAAAGTCCCGCTGGGTTTCTTGCTGGTTCTTCCCAGGACAGAGGTTTTTTCCGAACCAGTGGTAATCAAACAAAAGAGTGACTTTCAATAAGTATTATTTATAATCTATATTGAATAAAACAGTTTCTGTTTCTGTCTCTATATCACACAATTAACATTACATTATAACACTGCAATTAAGTATTTTTCAGATTATATTTTTGACATAACAAAACTACGTTTAGAAGGAGATTTTAACTCTCAAGTGCACCAAATTCTGGAGTTCATAAGGCTGACACGAGCGGAGGTGGAAAATCTTCAGTTACTATTTGATCACTTGCACGATGCATTGCAATCAGTCTGGCCAGGTTAGTTAATACATAGTTAGTAAGGTTATGGCTCTATAATTACGATGGAACCAGCTTATGAAAAAAAAATCCAGCTAGGTTTCTTGCTAAGTTTTCTCAGTAGATACCTTTTTTTTTATGAAACTGTTTTTTTTTTTGTATTATTCAATATATATTACATGTAATTCTTATATTTTTTACTTTACCATTGGTTCGGAAAAAAACCTCTGTTTCCAGGACAGAGGTTTTTAGAGCCAGCAAGAAACCCAGTGAGACTTTTAAAAAAAAAGTAAATGATACAAAATTTATTTTATAAACAGGAAGTGACCACCTCATTCCTAGGAGTTATTATTTTTTTTTATAGGATAAGGGTGACAAACGAGCACACAGTCCACCTGATGGTAAGTGGTTGCTGCGGCCCATAGACATCTACATCTATCCTCGTTTGCGAATCAAAATGCAGATGCGTTGCCACCCATGAGGACTAAGATGGAATGCCTCATTTCCAGTAAAAAGGGCCTCCGGCCCCCTGCACTCACCAAGCGAAACGCAGAGGTAAACCTCTACTTCACGCTGGCATTCTGTGAGGTCGTTGTACCACCCCGGTTCGAGCCGGCCCATGCGTGCGACAGCAAAAGCTGCCGCGTGGCTCTACGACTGCTTAAAATTATTATCAACCATGTATGAAATAAGTAAATAAAATTAATAAAAATAAACTAGGTAAGACACATCATTTTATTTTATTGAGTGGATATTGCCAAAGTAGTTTTCCAACTTCAATATAATGGATTTCCGCAAAGTAACGCCTGATATTATTAATTAGCACCAGCTTGTGTTTGTTTCTAGTGTTTACAGAGTCTATATCACTTTTTTACTAAAACTACTTTTGTTCTTGTGATGTTCACACATTTGAATTGAATAAATGGGCTGTTTTCCTCAACTCTAAGCATCTCAACTCAACGTCTAAGCGCGTATTTTGCGTGTGGCCATGAATAATGTATTTATTCGAGCCATGAAATCTCCCTGAAGAAGTTCAACAGTACTTTGATGTTTCAAGTAACTGCAGGGAGTGAACCCAGCGTGCCGAGATGTTTAGCCGTGTATGCAGTGACTTCCGGACATATCGGCAACACGTGGGCCGCCGTTTTTTCCTCCCTCATACGTGCCCTGCACAAGGGACTGTCTGTGACACCTATGGCAAATAAATGTTTGTTAAAGGTGCCGTGTCCTGTGATATAGCACTTGTTACTATTCTGATCTGCGGCTTGTTCAGTCTCATTAGAATCTTAGTTAAACGTACTGTTTATTTCAGGCAGGGCCTCCCTAGCTTGTCTACAGTCTACCGGATTTTTCCAAAGTTGAGTGTGTTGATTAGTGAAATGTCTACATACCAGTGAACAAACGTTACCAAAGGGGATTAGTATGATTGGTTCCAGCCCTGGATCCACTGTGTCCCTTTATCCATTGTAGAGTCATATTGTTGTGTTTACATACCTCATTTAATCGTTGATGGCATTCATATATTAATCCTGAGTTCACCACATTGCAACTCAGGGCTTCTAGTACCGCCCTACTATCGGTCAGTATTCTGATGTAGAAGTCTTTAACCTTCCTAGCATATCCATTGCTATGGCCGCTTCAATGATACCCATACATTCCACCTGAAAGAGTGTGTTGTAGGTACCCAGCAGTGTGCATATGTGGATGTTAAGGTTCAATTGTTTTAGAACCATTGGTGAAGACTCGAAGCTCTTTTGAACTTAATACCTCCGGTTGGCTGGTTTCATTTAATTGTATCTTATACTTCTTATTGAATACAAATTGTTTAGGGTACTTGGCTTGTAAGATAGGAATTATTAAGTGCATTCTATCAATTATGCCTGTATGAGGGGGACTCTATTCTTACTCCAAAGATTTAGGATCTTGAGTCTAATGACAGCTAAAGTCGCTTTTTGTTGTAATAAATATAAATAATAAATTTTATTTCGTTTTTAAAAAGTATTTTGTATATATTGATGATATATATTATATATTTTGTATGTATAGATGAAGCAGGGTTAGCTCCAGTATCATCTCTACGGCTGCTAATTCTTATGCAGCTTGTGGCAGCCATACATGCCAGTCTCTGGTACCGCTGAAGCTTCTTTATAGTGGTGGCTTGATTTGTCTTGGTTCACCATACCAGAGCGCCGTATGTGATCATGGGCCGAATTACAGTTTTGTATAGCCACAGTATGATTTTTGGCTTCAGACCCCATCCTTTGCCAATCATGTTGCCGCATTGCCAGAAAGTTATACTAACTTTGTTGATTTTGTTCTCTGTGTTTATTCCAGTTGAGTTTACTGTCTAAGCTAAGACCTAAATATTTTACCTTAGAGGATAGCTGGAGTTTTGTGCTGAAAATACTTGGGAGATGATAGTTATTCAGCATCCGTTTTTGTATGAACATTACTAGAACCGTTTTATTTGGATTGACGGTTAAGTCGTATTCCCTTCACCATCTCTCCAATATACGGAGAGCCGCTTGGGTCAGGTCGCACACCATGCTTGCTGTCTTTCCAGAGACCAGTATTGTCAGGTCATCAGCATAACCTACTGTGTAGAAGTGATGGGCATTTAATTTGCTGATGAGTTCATTAATGACCATATTCCACAGGAGAGGTGAAAGAACCCTACCCTGCGGGCAGCCTTTCTTAATCTGGATTGTTTGCTATTCACCAGCAATCTTTATTGTTCGTGTATTGAGCATATTTACTATCCAGTCAATCAGTCTTGGTTCAACTTTATGTCTTACTGAGTGCACTTTTTATGCTGGAGAAATTCGTTCTGTCAAAAGCACCTTCTGTATTTATGAAGGAACCTAGACATATTTACTTTGTTTTGGATGGCCGGTTGACATTGCAATTAAATGTTATACAGTTTACCCCATATGTGGTATAATGTCAAGAAAGGTTTAGTGGATGTAGCTACCGAAGTATGTGGTGTAAGTAAGAGAACGAATGAAAGGAAAAATAACACGTTATGGTGGGATGATGAGGTACGGATGGAAGTTGAAGCAAAGAAGAAAGCATGGATAGATTTACTAGCAACCAAGGCTAGTAATTCTAGCAGTATGAATGATGATATTGAAAGGAAAAAGGCAGTTTTTAGACAACTAAATAAGAGAGTAAAAGAAGTAGTTGAAAGGAAAAAGCAAGAAAGAACGGATAAGAATGATAGAAGAATATCGGATAACTTCCAGGCAAACATTAAAATGTTCTGGAAACTCGTAAGAACTACCAGGGGACATTCACAACAGCCTAGAATGTATGCTATACGAGACCAGAATGGCTGTATTCTGAATGACGAAGTTTTGAGTTTAAGGAGATGGAAGGAATACTTTGAAAGCGTGTTTATGAGTGATGAGACGTTTGAATTAAATGAAATAGAAATTCCGAAAGAAGAGGAAATAGATAGAGATATAAGTATAGATGAAATAATGAAATCAATGAAAAGTATGAAAGCAGGTAAGGCAGCTGGTTATGATAGAGTATCTCTCGAAATGCTAAGGGCTGGAGAAGGAGTGGTGGCAGACCTGCTGTACACCTTGTTTAATTTATGTTGGGAACTTAAGCGGGTACCGGGAGACTGGTGCAAAGCCGTGATAGTCCCAATATATAAGAGAAAAGGATCACAGCAGGACTGTAAAAACTACCGTGGTATCAGCCTTCTTAGCATTGTGGGAAAACTGTATGCTAAGGTACTAATTGAAAGAGTTATGAAAGAAACTGACGGAAAAATTTGGGATGTGCAAGCGGGATTTAGAAAGGGAATGGGATGTACGGATCAGGTCTTTCCCATGCGCATGATCGCCGAGAAGTTTTTGGCCAAAAACCAAAAAGTTTTTTGTGCGTTCATGGACTTGGAGAAGGCTTATGACAGAGTGGACAGGGATGTGTTATGGCAAACACTGAACTCATTTGGGTTGAGCGCTGGTCTGATACAGGCATTGAAGTCTCTATATAGGGACTCTAGTGCTTGTGTCAGGATCAACGGGACCTACTCGGACTGGTTTGACATCCATAAAGGTGTCAGACAGGGCTGTGTGGCTTCCCCGTGGTTGTTCAACCTATTTATGGACAGTTGTTTGGAAAATTTGAAAGTAGAAGAATGCGGGTTAAGAATGGGTGAGTTAACCGTCAAATGCCTTTTGTATGCCGATTATCAAGTCATACTTGCGTCGTCGGCAGCCGAGTTGCAAATGATGGTTACATTAATGAACACGACATTAAAAGAAAAGGGAATGAAAGTGAACGCAAGTAAGACGAAAGTTATGGTTTTTGAAAGAGAAGAAAGTAAAACGATATGTGAAATAAGAATAGAAGGGGAGTTGGTAGAGCAAGTAGATGAGTTTGTATATTTGGGATGTGTGTTTAGCAGGGATGGTAGATATGATAAGGATATAGAACGACGAGTGAATGGGGCTCTACACTCTATTGTGAAAAGTCAGAATGTGTCCAAAAAGGCACGTATGGCAATTCACAATGCTGTGTTAGTACCTACTTTAATGTATGGTAGTGAAAGTTGGGTGTGGCAGAAGAAGCATGAGAGTAGAATAAATGCTGTAGAAATGCGGTCATTAAGGAGTATGTTAGGGATGAAGCTGAATGACAGAGTGAGAAATTGTTTAATAAGAGAAGAGTGTGGTTTGCAAGATGATGTTGTGACCAGGATTAAGAAAGGAATGCTTCGGTGATTTGGCCATGTAGAAAGAATGAATGAGGAAAGAGTGACAAAGCAAATTTATGTTGCAGAGGTGAACGGCATAGTCGGGAAGGGTTGCCCTAGGCGAAAGTTTATCGACCAAATTGGCGATATATTAAAAATGGGCCAAATCAAGAGTACCTTTAACCGACGAGCGTGTATGCGTAGGTATATGTATGTGGAGGAAGCGAGAGAGATGTGTCAGGATCGTGCCAAATGGAAGTCCATAATCTCTGCCTACCCCTCTGGGTGACAGGCGTGAGTGTTTATGTATATGTATGTATGTAGTTTACCCCATTGTGTATATATGGGTAAACATAATGTGACTTTGACTTCCCTCCATCCCCTAAAAATATATATAAGAGCCAAACAGGCTCTCATTATGGCAAGAAGTCTGACTATTAGGGCTTTACCCCTCCCATTGTAGGAGTGCCGGGAATATGCCTACAAGTCCTGCCGCCTTGTATGGGGGGAAACTGTGAATGGTCCAATGGATTTTGTCCATCGTTACCACTCCTGTGCTAAATTCCAGTCTTCTGCTGTTGGTGTCAGTGCATCTTCATGCCGGTTTGCCCCCTGAGTTACGCAGCAACTTGGGAAATGCGTTTCAATTAGAATGCGTTGGGTTTCATCCGGCGATGTTGAGTAGCTCCCGTTGTGTCTCTTTAAAGAGATGGATCCCGACGTGTTCTGTTTAGCTAGGTAGTAGTGATAGTAGAGTCCAAGGGGGAGTTGTTGGCCGTTAGTTTGGACATTGCGAAGGCCTTCGATCGGGTTTGGCACAAAGCGCTTCTTTCGAAGATCCCTTCCTATGGGCTTCCCGAGAAATTGTGCAATTGGATCACCAGCTTACTTGCAGATCGGAGCATCACGGTCGTTGTAGACGGTGCAGGCTCCAACTACAAGCCTATTAACGCTGGTGTTCCACAAGGCTGTGTGCTATCACCAACGCTGATTCTTCTGCATATCAATGATATGTTGCTAACTGGTAACATTCATTGCTATGCGGATGACAGCACTGGTGATGCTCTATACACCGGCCATGCCAATATTTCTCGGTAAAACGTCGCCGAGTACCAGAACAAACTTGTGTCTGAAGTCGATTCTTTCCTGAACATAGTCTCGGATTGGGGGCGACTAAATCTAGTCCAGTTTAATCCTCAGAAGACACAAGTTTGCGCGTTTACCGCTAAAAATAACCTCTTTGTCGTATCTCCCCAGTTTCAAGGCACTCCCCTTCTTGCCTCAGCCAGTATCGGAATCCGTGCACGTGCAGTTTCGTGGTCATTTGGAAGAGAAGGCTAAATTGGCCTCTAAAAAGCTTGGCGTGCTCAGCAGAGCGGGACAGTATTTCATGCCGGCACACCGCCTGCAACTTTACAAGGCGCTGGTTCGGCCTCACATGGAATACTGTTCCCATCTCTGGGGAGGGGCTTCCCAGTGCCAGCTCCTTCCACTTGACCGCATCGTCGACGACCGTGTCCTTTCCGATCGGCTCGATTCATTGTCACTGCGAAGAGATGTTGCATCCGTTTGCATTTTCTTTCGCATTTACCACGGGGAGTGCTCTGAGGAATTGTTCGGATTAATCCCAGCCGCCAAATTTCACGAACGCACATCGCGGCAGAACTCCCGATACCATCCACACCATCTGGATGATTGGCGGTCCACCACTGTGCGATGTAGAAGATGTTTTATTCCTCGCACAACTTCCTTGTGGAATCTATTACCATCAGCGATTTTTCCGGACCGATACGACTTAGGGACCTTCAAGAAAAGAGCCTACTCCTTTTTAAAAGGCCGGCAACGCATCTGCAATTTCCCTGGTTCTCCTGGGGTTGCAGTTGTTCATGGGCGGCGGTAGTCACTTACCATCAGGTGAGCCGCATGCTCGTTTGCCCCCTCCTATATAAAAAAAAATATTTCTTTCAGTTTTTTTAGTAAGAGACTATTATGGGTGTTGAACTGTTGGTTTCATTATAAAAGGCCTGTAATTATACTCAAAGTAAAAATATTTTTATTCGGATTTTCAAAACATTTTTGATAGTTAAGTAATCTATGCTACAACTTAGAGATATATTTAGTAATTAGTAGATGATATTTAATTTATAACTAGCTGTTCCCTGCGACTTCGCTCGCGTGTTAGGGTTTTTATTTTTTTGCTCGGAACCCTAATTATTTTTCTAAAATAAAAGCCTAAGTTATTCCTTATGACATCAGCTATCTGCCAGTGAAAATCCCGTCAAAATCGGACCAGCCGTTTCGGAGATTAGCCTGAACAAACAGACAGACAGACAGACAAAAATTTAAAAAAATGTATTTTAGTTCTAAGTACCGTATTTACTTTCGTATGCATTTAATAAAAAGCTGTAATTTTGACATTACAAACAGACACTTCAATTTTATTTATTTGTATAGATATTTATTCAAAATAATTAAAAATTGTGGTTGCCAACATGTCAAGCGTAGCAACTTATCTAAGGTCAAGTGCCTGTCTTTATAAGTTGTAATAAACTACAAAATTAATTAATTACTATTTATACAGGTACATTACTATATCCATTTCAGCCTATAAAAATCCACTGCTGATCATAGGCCTCACCCATAGATTGCCTCATAGAGGGATTTTGCCAAAGTTGCTACACTTCGCAGTCGTTTTGATAAGTGATGATGATTTAATTGTCGCGAAGATTTAGAAAGACAACCGCAGTTTTTTATTTTAAGTTGACATCAGGAAGATGCTGCTGCCCATCTCCTGTTTCAGTTTCCCTCCGTCGCCTCTTACAACACCCACGAGATGATATTATGGGGTAGTGGATATTCTTACACCACCACTACATGGTCACATTACTGTATAGTACAAACATTTTTATTTATATTGCCTTTACTTTGTTGACCCACTTGAAAGTGAATACTTCTGATACCTGTGTGACCAATTAACTTTTTATTACAGGTTGTCAAGTTCACGCATTTGGCTCAATTGTTACCGGCCTTGGTATAAAATCTAGCGATGTGGATTGTTTCATTCGCTTGCCAGTATGGTTACAGAATCCTGGCGACACTTATGTAGCGCAAGCTAAAGCTGCTCTCATGCAATATCCCCGTATATTCACAGAGTTGTTTGCTATAAAGGGTGCAAAGGTTCCGATTGTTAAGTTTTATCATGTTCCTACTCAAAGGCACTGCGATATTAGTTTCAAAAGCCCAACCGGAGTTGAAAACAGTAAACTACTAGCTTATTTACTGAATTTGGACAACAGAGTGTTACCTCTCGCTATTTTAATCAAGTATTGGGCAAAAGTGCACAAACTGACTGGAACAAATCTTATGCCCAACTATGCCTTAACTTTGTTAATAATATTCTATCTACAGCATAAAGCTATCCTGCCGCCAATATCGCTTCTGCAAAGAAATGTAGAACATATAGTGGACAATTGGAATGTTGCCTTCGAAGATGTCATGCATGTAAGCGGAAATAACGAGTCTCTGTATGAATTGCTTGGTGGATTTTTTAAATACTACAGGGACTTTAAATACGATGTGTTTCTTGTGTGCCCGTTTTTAGGACTTCCTATCAAAAGAGATTTGTTTGCAAAAGGTGGGAATGTCCCTTCTGAGTTTGAACTGTACAAAACTAATTTAAAAAGACGTAATTGTCTACCGTTACGGACGAATAGTTTAATATGCATACAGGATCCATTTGACCATAGCAGAAACTGTTCTGTGGCAATGTACCCAAGGTTGGTGAATAAAATTATGTCATGTATTTCACAATCCGCTGAGATATATGAGAATAAGAAAAGTGAAATATTTCTATGGGAAATATTGTCTATGGCTATTGAAGAAAGTCCTGCAGTTAGTAAAAAGAGACGTGTACGAAATGGTGTGGCTAAGTTTAAACCTAACCATAACATTAAAAAAGCAGCTCAGACTTTTCATAAGGCGTTTATGAGGTATAAAGAAAAAGAAAGAGGAAAAAATAAAAGAAATTTAAATAATTTTAGTCATAATGTTACGAAACATTAAGTCAAATTTTTACATTAAAAATTTGTCTCTTCTGTTGCAACATGTGATATCCAATTTATACTTGAGTAATGTTAGTTAATTAGGACATAATTATTTTAAATGGATAATTATAGGTCATGAATCATATAAGTGGTATACATTGATTATTTTGTTATAAAAGAAAATAAAATTTCATTTTTATGAAACTCGTGCTTGTTGTAATTCTTTTTGTAATCCTTAACATTGCCGGATGGATGTCATTTGCAGCACTAGATGCAATTGAAAAGTTGCGATTTTAAATTATAAGTTTTTCGTTTTGTAGTGTATGTATATAGCACGAAGCAAATACAAAGAGGAGATGGCATAAGCAACTGTTCACTGTGATTCTAACTAGGTCCTGACGTCATCACAGTGGACGTGGCTCTACTTAGTATACTGTCAGCGTTCGTCCTGTGCGCTTATGTGTCGAAAATTGAAAATCGGTGTATTTTCGTAGTATTAAGAAGAAAAGGATGAAGTGTTGTGTTTCATAGTGTAAAAATTACTCAGATAGGCTCTCTGATCCTATGGACGGCATCACATTTCATTTGTAACTTATTTTATACTATTTATTTAAAAGGTACTAGAAATATCTACGTCGAATTTTAAATGTAATTCAGTATATGTAACACTAGATGGCGACACTCTATTTCATGGGAACTAAAAATATAAAGTTACGTAGAGCTCAGTATTGGTAAAATAATCATACAAAGGTGTTGAAATTTGTTTTGCATTCAGTCCCAAAGAATTTTTAGTCGCCAAAATATTATTTTTATAGTATTTATAATCATTTTGTGAACAGGCCGCCATCTATCGTCAAGGTAGCTAAACTGAATTGCAACATCGTTATGGAACGATTCGAGTAGTTTTACTATTTATCGGTAGATGGAAAATAGTAAAATGAGCGGAGCTTAACATCCCCTCACCCCGCAATTTGTCACGCGTTGTCACATAGTGAAATCTAATTACAACACCTCTTTGTATTTGCTTTGTGGTATATACACAAAACAATGCCTCAGTGCTGTAACCTTTAAAGTTTACGAACTACAATTTACATTTATTTTTAATTTTTTTTCACTGTCATATTATGAGCATTAAGAGTCGTGCATTTTTGAATTTCCAAACTTTTTTTAATTGATGTTTGACATAAAATTATCGGAAAATTGAAAGTATATTAATAAGGTTACTAGTGAAAACTTGTGTGTGTATTTAAGCTACTTTAAAAAAAATTGTTTTTTTTTTATAGGAGAGGGGGCAAACGAGCATGTGGCTCACCTGATGGTAAGTGACTACCGCCGCCCATGAACAACTGCAACCACAGGGAGGGAATTACAGATGCGTTGTCGGCCTTTTAAAAAGGAGTACGCTCTTTTCTTGAAGGTCCCTAAGTCGTATCGGTCCGGAAAAATCGCTGATGGTAATAGATTCCACAAGGAAGTCGTGCGAGGAAGAAAACATCTTCTAAATCGCACAGTGGTGAACCGCCAATCATCCAGATGGTGTGGATGATATCGGGAGTTCTGCCGCGATGTGCGTTCGTGAAATTTGGCGGCTGGGATTAATCCGAACAATTCCTCAGAGCACTCCCCATGGTAAATGCGAAAGAGATGCAACATCTCTTCGCAGTGCCAATGAGTCGAGCCGATCGGAAAGGACTCGGTCGTCGACGATTCGAGCCGCTCTGCGCTGGATGCGGTCAAGTGGAAGGAGCTGGCACTGGGGAGCCCCAGCCCAGAGATGGGAACAGTATTCCATGTGAGGCCGAACCTGCGCCTTGTAAAGTTGCAGGCGTTGAGCTGGCATGAAATACTGTCCCGCTCTGCTGAGCACGGCAAGCTTTTTAGAGGCCAATTTGGCCTTCTCTTCCATATGACCACGAAACTGCACGTCCCTCGATATGTCGACGCCGAGGATTCCGATACTGGCTGAGGCAACAAGGTGAGTACCTTGAAACTGAGGAGATACGACAAAGGGGTTCTATTTAGCGGTAAACTTGTGACTTCTGAGGATTAAACTGGACTTGATTTAGTCGCCCCTAATCCGGGACTTTGTCCAGCAAAGACTCAACTTCAGACACAAGTTTGTTCTGGTACTCGGTGACGTTTTCCCGAGAAATATTGGCACGGCCGGTGTATAGAGCATCACCAGTGCTGTCATCCGCATAGCAATGAATGTTACCGGCTTGCAACATATCATTGATATGCAGAAGAAACAGCGTTGGTGATAGCACGCAGCCTTGTGGAACACCAGCGTTAATAGGCTTGTAGTCGGAGCATGCACCGTCTACAACGACCTTGATGCTGCGATCTGCAAGAAAGATGGTGATCCAATTGCATAATTTCTCGGGAAGCCCATAGGAAGGGAGCTTCGAAAGAAACGCTTTGTGCCAAACCCGATCGAAGGCCTTCGCAATGTCCAAACTAACGGCCAATGCCTCCCCCTTGGACTCTACTGCCTCCGCCCATCTATGAGTTAAGTAGACCAGAAGATCACCAGCTGATCGACCCCGACGAAAACCGTACCGGCGGTCACTAATCAGCTGGTGATCCCCAAGGTACCGCATGAGGTGGCAGTTTATAACGGATTCCATTATTTTGGAGAACAATGGGGTGATGGCGATAGGCCTGTAGTTGGACGGGTCTGAGCGGTCGCCTTTTTTAGGGATCGGGTGGACAAAAGCTGTCTTCCATGATTTCGGGACTACGCCTAGGAAGTAGGAGTACCGGAAAAGACGCGTTAAATCCGGTGCCAACTCCGGAGCACACGTCTTCAGCACAACGGGAGGGATTCCGTCAGGCCCATTCGACTTGTGGATGTCAAGGGAGGGGAGTGCTCTGCGAACCGAGCGCTCTGAGAACCGCACATCCGGCATGGAGCACTCACACCGCGGGATGGTCAGCGGTGTGTTCCCCCCGTCATCAAGAGTCGAGTTGGACGCAAAAAAGGGAGCCTAAAAGGTCGGCTTTCTCTTTTGCGTCGTGGGCCAGTGAGTCGTCCTCCCTGTGCAGAGATGGTAGTGATGGCTTACAGAAATTCCCTTGGACAGCCTTGGCGAGAGACCAGAATGCACGGGTTCCCAAAGGAAGGCAAACTAGTTTCTCGCCAATTCTGCCTATGTGCTCTGACTTTGCCTTGGCAATAACTTTTTGAGGGACCTGGAGGCGAAGTTATACTTCTTTTTAAGTATGCTGGTGTTTACATCCCGAGTCGCCGAAGCCGCAGCCCAGGCTTGATAACACTCCTGTTTACTGCGTAAAGCAGTCTTACAGGAGCGACCAAACCAAGGCTGAGATCTGCCTCCGATGGGTACCACAGATGATGGAATAAATAGTTCCATTCCCTGTAGCACCACATCAGTGACAGAGTTAGCAACAGCGCTGTGATCATCCGGCGAGAAGCAAACCCGCCCCCATGGGTAGGAAGCAAAGAAAGACCGCATTCCGTCCCAATCCGCCGACCTGTAATGCCAAACACGGTGGCAACCTGCAGAACGCAACCGCGAGGGGAGCGTGAGTGGCACCACACTCCGGATCAGACAATGGTCCGAAGAGCCAAGAGGGGTATCGACGGAAACCCGATATCCGTCCGGATGAGAAGTCAGCAGAAGGTCCAACAGGGAAGGTGTATGATCCTCAACATCTGGAATCCGCGTAGACGATGTAACCAGTTGTGTCAGACCATATGCCAAGGCAAAGTCATAAACAGATCTCCCCGCATGATCGGTTAAACGTGAACCGAGCCATTGGGCGTGGTGGGCGTTAAAATCACCAAGGATCACGATCTCTGCGGATGGTACCTGTTGTAGCAAGGAATCTGTAGCCATTTGGACGTGGTCGATGAGTCGGTCTGTTTCGGCATTACCGCTATGGGACCTATAGAGGCACACGTAGACGCGCGGATGGTTGTCGCTGTCTACGCGTAGCCAAAGGATGGACAGGTCCGAACCTTCAAGACTGCCGAGGCGTCGAGAACAGATGTCCTCTCTGATATACACGCAAACTCCAGCCCGAGGCACAAAGGAGTGCTCCAATTTGTACCCCGGGTAGCAGAGATACGAAGTATCAGCCGGAGACGACACCTGCGTCTCGGTCAGAAAGAGCAAGGCCGGCTTCGCCGTCTCGAGATGGTAGTGGACGGCGTTTAGGTTGGAGTGAAGTCCCCTGATGTTGCAGAAATTCACGGATAGCGTGGCACGGGTCGCCTTGGTCGTGTTGCTCAGTTTGCCCCGAGCAGTTATTGTGTTGAGCGGAATTTTGCCCCCCCCCCCCCCCCATCCAGAAACGCGGGGCAGCCTGAGCACCCACGCTCAGGAGTGGAATAACATGGTCGTGGATGCTCAGCTATGGATTCTCCAGGAGTGCTGATACCCTCCTGGGGTAGTCTTTCGTGTAATTCCGCTACAATGTTGATTGGGGGGGGGGGGGGATTGGGCCTCCGGTCACCTGCACTCACCAGACGAAACGCGGAAGCAGAGCTTCCACTTCACTCTCACTTTTTATATTACCTTCTACATATTTTTACTAGGAGCTAGGACTTCTCTTGAGTTCATATTTTATTGTGTATAAGTGAGTCCATGAGTCCGTCTGGGTAGGTAAATACCCTCTTACGTAAATTTTTTTTTCTAAAACTGCGGGACCCATAAGCGGGCCTACACGCTTTAGGTTAATCTTAAAGACACATACATTCTTAAACAATAAGATTTATTTTATGCCTCAGACCATAGTATGACTAATACTACGTACAGAAGTTGCACTCCTTTGATGTTGACTGTTTGCCGAAGTTTTAATATCCTACATAATTCTTATTTAAATAAAACTTTTTCGCTGTGCGCGAGTATCCGCTTTACTTTGCATCTTTTTCCCTTTCTACGTCACGGCGGACTTTCCGTGGTTACTAAGGGCTATCAATAAAGAGTAACAAAATACATTGCGAAATGGTAAGTTTCTTAGATAAAGTACCTATTCTGACGATGATCGATCGACTGACCATATTTTTGCTACTAAGATGCGAGTTCTGTGATGTCCAACGTATGCAAATTGCAAGGCCATTCGTCGGGAATCGCGATTCTTGGCTCGGAAGAAATAGGTAGATAAATACGATTCCTAACATTAATGTGATCGTATTCTACTTAGTTAAAAAACAAAGTTTTAATTTCAGTAGTTTG